AGAAATTATTCCAAATAGGACTAAAAATATGGCAAAAACTCAAAATAGGACTTACTATGTTTTTCTTTTCAAAATAGGGACCATATTAGTCCTATTGGAAACATACATATTTTTTCATTCCATTCTTACCCTTCCTTTAAATATGAGTTAATTAAATGTTTAATTCATAATAAATTCTAAAAAAATTCAAAAATTCGTAGAAAAATATTTAAAAAATTTATAAAATAATGATAAAATAAAAAATAATTTTTTTTTTAATTTTTTAATTTTTTTAAAAAATTAATAAAAAATAGTAAAACTCCATAAAAAATGTAAAAAAGTTATGGACACCTTTCCCACCGCCTGTACTACCTCCCTGCACCACCATCTCCGGCCTGTGAAAAAAATGCCATTTTTTCTAAAAACTGCCATTTTTTCTGAAAATGCCAAAAACATGGCATATTTCTCTTTGAGAATGCCAACATTTTCATTGTTTTCTGCCATAAATATGGCATTCCTAATGAACTTGGCATTTTGTTTCCCTGGTAACGGGAGGTGGTGGTGCAGAGGCGGCGGTGAATTTTATTTTATTTTTTTGAATTTTTTATTTTTTTATTTTTTTTTTATTTTTTTTATTTTTTGGAAAAAAATAAAAAAATAAGTAATTATTATCGAAATATTTTTATTAATTTTTTAGTATTTTTTACGAATTTTTATTATTTTATTATGAATTAAAACATTTCAATAGCTATAAGGGTATATTTGTCCAAGACAGACATAATTAGTCCTATGAGAAAATAGTTTATTTTTAGGTCCTATTTGTGCAAAGTGAGTGACTTTTAGTCTTATTTTTATAATTAACGCCTTTAACATTTCTAAAAAACAATCGGAAGTCGGAACCTTTACAAGTGAATGGAGTAGTCCGTATTACTAATATAAAAATAAAAATTCATAAAAATAATTTAAAGTGAATCGGAACCTTTACAAGTGAATGGAGTACTTAAAAAGAATCTTTCTGTGCACCTAAAATAAAAATTCATAAAAATAATTTAAAGTATAGTCCTCAAACCGACACACACCGTTCATGTAACGTGTGGCACCACTAAAAGTGTAATATGCCGATAACGTCTGTAACACTTGAAAGAAAATGTCATAAAAAGCTTAAAGCTTTTTGCTATATCGTTTAAATAAAATTTAATGATAAAAATGTGACTAAAACTATTATGAATTTGCATTCATAACTACGAAGTTACAATTATGATAACTCAATTCAACGTCACATTGTCTTTTGTAAATTTGTTATGTTTATTTTAGTGCATGCCGGACAAGTTGTTGTACTTTTCAAAAAGTCTCTAAAACCTTCTAGTTGTATGGTAGACATGATAATTTTTAAGAGTTTTTTCAAAAAATAAAAGATTTTTTGGCGAGCAGCATCTAAGAAAAGTATGTGACTTTTAACATTAATTAGTCAACAATAGTCATAATAGCTTGCATACCAAATAGAACAAAATGAAACGATCAGCTTTTCACCAAACATCTATATATCACATTTTTCCTTTAAAGATCTTTTCAGTCACTAAAAGTAAACAGTTATTAAAAAACTCACAATCAAGAGTATCTTTTCTGCTAATTGAGCCAAACATGCCTTTAATTATATAGTTATTGTTTTCTTTTCTTGACTACGTAGTAGCATACACTTATTGCTTCCACAAGAAAGAGCATTTAAGAAGTTATGCAATGCAATATTGAATACGATAAATGTAAACGAAATTATAGACCGAGATATTCAATATGCTACTATCAAGTTCGGAAGCCAAGCGCTCAAATATATAATATTTGAGATTGGGCTTCCGTATTACATAGTAAATTAAAATACGGAGTAATACCCAACAACATATGTTTTTTTAAAGAACCCAACAACATATGTTATGCTTTAAGACTTGGGATGTTTTTACTTGGTCTGTAATTCGTCCCAGACTAGATCAGACCAGAGTAGACCAGATCAGACTAGACCAGATCAGATCAGACCATTTCAGACCAGACCAGACTTGGATAGTTTTAAAAATACAAAGAAACCAGACCAGACCAGACCAGCAAATTACGATCCAAGTAAAAACATCTTTGATTGTTAGCATAAAATTATATTTCGATCTATTTGTTGAGGTGGTTAATGTTTTACAAAAAAAAGACTAATTTATTTATCCCAACAGAAATAGCTTTACAATGTCAGGTTCAATCGTCACAAATTGTATTTTGTGTCACGATTTTAGTTGCTTACATTGTCGCAACGTCTGCATGGACACGAGTTTTAGTGAGTGCCCCGCAGTTTCAGCCATCACTCTTTAAGCCTTTATTTTATTGGTTAATCCAATCTTTCCCCTTTTCCCTCATTGCAGAATACTCCTCATAATTTCATTTTATTGCGCCACGGCCCCCTCTTTTTCTTCCTTCAGTCAATGGTCCACTCGTCCGTCCATTCACTTTCAATTGTTTGGGCGTCCCATCACGCATCTGCAATTAAGATGGCATGCATATCTTTTTTCGAATACAAAATTCCAAACACTATAAATGAAGTGAAATTTTATAATAGGTGCATATGTTTTTTTCATTTAAAGAAGAATAAATTATCTGTTCTTACCGTCATATTTTGACAATATATATGACATTAATACAACAATATTAATAAGCATCACAATATTTAATTTTACTTGGTCAAGAAATGTAAAATCCATATTCGCTTTATTTTTACTCATATTTGGAGTCATTTTTGAATTTGAAATATTCTTATTGATAAAATGTTTAAGTGCTATGGTAAAATGTTTTCATTTGAACTACCACTATATTGTTCTCGTTTAATGTGATTTGGTTTGGTCTGATCTGATTTAACTATTTTGAGTTTGATATGATTTTATTTGAACTGTTTAAATATAATCTGTTTGATCATGTTTGAACTTTGAACTCGTCTAGCCTACAATGTATTACATACTCCGTATGACTGATCCTATTTGATTTTTTAATGGAAAAATTGACAAAAACAATCTCACCTTTCGTTGGTCTTCTCATCATAATCTCATCTTCTTTCATTGGACCCTGATCATGTTTTTTACTCTTTTTTTGGAATATCATATAAACAATCTTACCTCTCATTTTTCTATTATATCTTTATAAATGTGAGATTATTTATATAAGATTTTCAAAGAAAGGTAAAAAACTTGGTCAGAGTCCAATGAAAGAAGATAGGATGCAAATGTGGGATTATTTTGGGATTATGCAAATGTAGGATTATTATGAGAAGATCAATGAAAGATGAGATTATTCTTGTCAATTTTTCCTTTTTTAATGCTTAATATTATTTGTTTAAATTTGGTTATGATCAAGTTTCTAATTAATCAATCTGGGTCGAAGTAAAAATATACCTAATTTTCAAATTTGTTAAGTACACTTCTAGAAATATTAGCTACTGTATATATTAAAGAGAAAGAGAAACAGATATGTGACATTTAAATTTCATTCTTCTTGTTAATGGTCTAAACGGAATAAATTACTAAAATGGTAGTTGACAAAAGCTTGCCTAAACAACCATACTCTAATTTGGGTTGGCAAGTTAGAATGTAGTTCATTAATACTATTAATGTTACCATAGTTTCTTATAATAACTACTCCTTACCATTTTGGACAATGACATTAGTGGATTGCTTTGTGTAATATGACCCCACACTTATACTTCGCCAATTTAATTAAAGAATCTACCATGATCCGCCCTCTTAATTCAACTTTACGGACCAATAAAATACTATTTACAAAGAATTTTATCATTAAATGTGACTTAGATTGATTCGTGACACGGAGGATTAGTTGATAAACAGGATTTTTTTTAATGAATACAAAAAGTTACCTACACGTATTACATACTGTAGTCTTCTTCTTAGTAAAGAAAGCGATCCTATGATCCAACGGGACATACTTTATTTATTTATTTCTTGTTCATTTTTTTTTTGTTTTTCTTATAAGGTGGTTGGTAATTTATTTTGAAAAATGGGTAATCGGATGTGTAATTACCTGTAAAGGTATGGTCTACATTTTCTTAGATAGAAAAACACAAAAACAAAGGGCAAAAAGGTATTTCTTCACAAAACTCAAAATTAAATCAACTTTTAAGTCTTTTTTGTTGTAATAGCCCGTTTGGTAACGCTGAAATCTGTTGTGATTGTGGGTTATTAAGGATGTTTTTACTTGGACCGTAATTCCTCCCAAACCAGACCAGACCAGACCAGTTCAGACCAGACCAGACTTGGATAGTTATAAAAATACAAATAAACCAGACCAGACCAGCAAATTACGTCTAAGTAAAAACATCCTAACTATGTCGATTAACCATTTTTTCCTATAAATTTAAGAAAATATACTGTATATTATGGTTGTGGGCTGCAATTTATTATGGCAGACTCAGATTACTACAATGGGGTGAGAGCAATTGGGTAAAGGTTGGAAGATAAAAAAAATAAATTTATAAAATTTAGAGCCCATTCGGTAACACTAAAATTGGCTGATTCTGCTAAAATTTATGTAATTCTGGATGAAGTAGTTGTATTGGCTGATTCTGCTGATTCAAGAAAAAATTATACTAGTATTTAAAATAGTAGTATTTGTTATCAATAAATTAAATAAAAAATTGTGTGAAAAAATAGCTAAAATGATCCTCTATCGTAATTTCATCCAAAACAGTCAGAAAAGTAATTTCAACCCTACTTTTTTTACTTATTACAAGATTCAACGTGCGAAATAGAAAACTATATATTTGATGGAAAAAATGACTGATAAACCTTATAACCCGAAAAAGGGATCACCAAGCGGGCGATTAGAAAGGTTATTCCAAAGGCAGGATAGCAAAACATAGATGTTCATGGCGAGTCAGGGGTAAAAAGGAATATTTCATTCAAGGGGTTCAAGTACTCGGTATTTCTTTGTAGAACCCTTTACTCTTTAGAAATTAAACAGAACCCCATTATTCAGACATGAAATAAACCCCATCCTTGCCCACTTCATTTTCTCACACCTCACTCTTCTCTTCCGTCTACCTTCAAACTACTACCCCACCTTCCGCCATCTCGTTTTCTCTGTTTTCACTGCCTTCCTTTCCACAAACAGTTTGTGGGAAATACGGAAGAGATTGTAAGAGAAGCAAAGAAAATGCGGTTTCTTCTCGTTCTGTTTTTTCTCGTCCACTTGCATTTCCGCCACTTAGCCGCCGGTGAAGGGCGGAGCATACCGGAATACCGTGCTTTGCTGTCTGTAAAGGCGGCTTTTACTGATGAATCTCAGGCATCTCTTGCCTCCTGGCTTGCCTCCACTTCCCACTGCGAGTGGCAGGGCGTCACGTGCGACTCTCTCCGTCGCGTGACCTCCCTCGATATCTCCGGTCTCAACCTGTCCGGCGTTCTCTCTTCTGATATTAGCCACCTCCGGTTCCTTCGCAGACTCTCTGTTGATTCCAACCAACTTTCCGGTCCGGTTCCTCCGGCAATATCCACAATTCCTAATCTCCGTTACATGAACCTTTCGAATAACATCTTTAATGAGACATTCCCCCCTCAACTTATCCATCTCCGCAATCTCCAGGTTCTCGACCTCTACAACAACAACTTGACCGGAGAGCTCCCAGTTGATGTCTATCAGATGCCGAACTTGCGACACCTTCACCTTGGAGGCAACTTCTTCACCGGTCGCATCCCGCCGGAGTACGGAAGGTTCCAAATGCTGGAGTATCTTGCCGTTTCTGGAAATGAGCTGGTCGGCGTGATTCCTCCGGAGATTGGCAACCTTACGAAACTTCAAGAGCTTTATATTGGCTACTACAACGCCTTTTCCGGGGGAATTCCCCCGGAAATAGGGAACTTATCTCGGCTTACCCGCTTGGATGCTGCTAACTGCGGACTCACAGGTGAGCTTCCTCCAGAATTAGGGAAGTTGCAAAGCCTGGACACGTTATTTCTGCAAGTGAACAGTCTTACCGGCTCGTTACTACCAGAGCTAGGTTACTTGAATAACTTGAAATCCATGGATCTGTCGAATAATATGTTCTCTGGTGAAATACCATCCACATTCGCAGAGCTTAAGAATCTCACTCTTATGAACCTCTTCCGGAATAAACTTCACGGATCAATACCGGACTTCATAGGTGATTTGCCGCAGTTGGAGGTTCTTCAGCTATGGGAAAACAATTTCACTGGAAGCATTCCCCAGCAATTGGGTAAAAACGGCAAGCTTCAGCTGCTCGACCTCAGTTCCAATAAATTGACCGGGAATTTGCCCCCAAATTTGTGTACCGGAAACAAGCTGCAGACCCTAATTACTCTTGGAAACTTCTTGTTTGGTCCGATTCCAGAATCTCTCGGCCGTTGTGGATCACTGAGTCGCATCCGTATGGGGGATAATTATCTCAATGGTTCAATCCCGAATGGGCTCACGAGCTTGCCCAATCTATCACAAATTGAACTGCAAGACAATCTCCTCACGGGCTCATTCCCAGAGACTGTTACGGTATCTCCCAATTTAGGGCAGATCAGCCTCTCGAACAATCATTTGACCGGACCATTGCCTACGAGCATTGGAAATTTCGTTGGCGTCCAGAAGCTTCTTCTCGATGGGAACAGATTTTCCGGTCACATTCCGGCTGCAATCGGGAAACTGCACCAGTTATCTAAGATGGATCTCAGCCATAACACCCTATCAGGAGCCATCGCACCAGAGATAAGCCAATGCAAATTGCTGGCATTTGTTGATCTCAGCCGGAACCAGCTTTCTGGTGAAATTCCAACTGAAATCACAGGTATGAGGATATTAAACTACTTGAACCTGTCTAAGAATTACTTAAGCGGAAGCATTCCATCTGCGATTGCCTCTATGCAAAGTTTAACATCAGTCGACTTTTCATACAACAATTTATCGGGATTGGTTCCTGGAACGGGCCAATTCAGTTATTTCAATTACACTTCATTCATAGGCAACCAGGATCTCTGTGGCCCGTATTTGGGACCTTGCAAACCAGGTATAGCTGACGGGTCCCATCAGCCCCGTCCCAAAGAGGGATTATCATCTTCCCTGAAGCTTCTACTAGTGATTGGGCTCCTTGTCTGTTCTATAGTATTTGCTATTGCAGCAATCATAAAAGCACGTTCTCTAAAAAAGGCCAGTGATGCTCGTTCATGGAAGCTCACTGCATTCCAGCGCTTAGATTTCACATGTGATGATGTTCTTGATTGCTTGAAGGAAGACAACATTATCGGAAAAGGAGGCGCAGGTATTGTTTATAAAGGAGTGATGCCACATGGGGAGCAAGTTGCCGTGAAAAGATTGCCAGTTATGAGCCGTGGGTCTTCACATGATCATGGGTTTAATGCCGAAATCCAGACCCTCGGGAGGATCAGGCATAGACATATCGTGAGGTTGTTAGGTTTTTGCTCAAACCATGAAACTAATCTTTTGGTTTATGAATATATGCCAAATGGGAGCTTAGGTGAAATGATTCATGGGAAGAAAGGTGGTCATTTGCATTGGGACACAAGGTATAAGATAGCTGTTGAGGCTGCTAAGGGACTGTGTTATCTCCATCACGATTGCTCTCCATTGATCCTTCACCGTGATGTGAAATCAAACAACATTCTTCTTGACTCGAATTTCGAAGCTCATGTCGCTGATTTTGGACTTGCCAAGTTCATGCAAGATTCTGGAACGTCCGAATGCATGTCTGCAATTGCTGGTTCGTATGGATACATTGCCCCAGGTATGATTTTTTAATCCAGTGCTTATGCTTAAAGATCATTGTTGCTTAATTATTGTATTGGCCTGTTTGATAATGGTTCTTTGTCCAATTTTACTGAATCCTTTGAAAGAAACAGCGCTTGGTAATATAATATCCCTTTAGCCAAATTAGAAAAGTAAGAGGCTCCTTATTGCTTTATTTTAATTATAATTATAATTAAACAGACAGAATCAGTTTACCAAACAAAGCCTTAGGCTTAAATGAAATTCTAGCGTGTGCATTTCTAGTTGTAGTTGTGAGTGAGACTTCATACCTTTGTTAGGTTCGCTAGGTTCGCTAGGTTCGCTCGCTCTTTCTTAAGTTTTCTTGTAAAAAAATTACACATTGGCTGTTGGGGGCTTTGACTTTACTAGGTTCAGTAAATATGCGAATTTGTGGTGTAGTAAAGTCACTTCCCCATTTTAAAATGACAAGTAGTTGAACATGGCCACAAAGTCATCCATACCACTGTGTCAACAGTTGAGTTACTGACTGGAATAAATAGCGCACCATTTGACTGTGAAAATGATTTCTAGCTACATGTCCCAATAGTGTTTGGTTGGGCATTTATGGACATTATTAAACACTTCAGTTGCCTTGCCATGCCTCCCATTCAAAGAATTCTCCCTCCAGACAAAGCAAACCAAAAAAAGAAAAACAGTGCTCTCTGATGGTACATTTTGATAATTATTTGTTTGGGTAATAAGTTTGTAATAATTTTTGTCATTTGCAGAGTATGCATATACACTGAAGGTTGATGAGAAGAGTGATGTCTACAGCTTTGGGGTGGTGCTATTAGAACTGATATGTGGGAAGAAGCCAGTTGGAGAGTTCGGGGATGGGGTTGATATTGTCCAATGGGTTAGAAATATAACAGGTGGGATAAAGGAAGAGGTGGTTATGATTCTTGATCCGAGACTGTCCACAGTCCCCTTACACGAGGCGATGCATGTGTTCTATGTAGCAATGCTATGTGTGGAAGAGCAAGCTGTTGAGCGCCCGAAGATGCGGGAGGTCGTGCAGATGTTGACCGAGCTGCCGAAGCCACCGGGCAGTAAAACGGATGATTCCACTGTTACCGATTCCCCACCACTCTCTGTTACCAGTCCGAGCGACACGAAGGACTATGCGCTGGCCCCACCACAGCCTCATTCCCCACCTCCTGATCTTCTCAGCATCTAGAATTGCTGCCCAGTTTATTGAGTGTGGATGGCAACAATGCTCACTTTTCTCTAGATTATTATTTTTCTTTTAGTAGATTTGCTTAATGTGCTACTCTAGTTATGGCTTATCATATTGGTGATCTTTTTTTTTTTTGTGGGGAGTGGGTATTCAAATTCAAGTTTTTAGTTTAGGGTTCCAGTTTTTTCTTTTGTGCAATATGAAATGTACAGCTGGACTGGTGGTAGTTTTAAAATGGTGTTTATTTTAAATTTTCATCTCTTATTCTTGCAAACATCCTTCTGACAGCTTTTAGAAATTGTTTTGAATAGGAGTAAAAACGTTTTGAAATTCCAAAATAGGACCTTCATGTTTTTATTTTCTAAAATGAATATTTTTTGTCAAATTTGGGAAAAAACTTGCCAGAAACAGCATGTTTATCTTCAGATAATGGCAAACTTGGGAGAAATTATTCCTATTTAGGAAACAAAAATATGTCATACATATTTCAGAATTTCAAAACTTTTTTTAGGAATTTTCCCTTCAACTGCAGACTATGATTCTATGGGGTACTAATTAGATTACTATGCGGAGAAAGAGTAAGCGTGTTTATTTTGATTCAATGGAAAATGGACAATACTTTTACCTCTATTTGTATGTAGCATATCTCAAATGTGTGGAATGATAGGAACTGAAAGGGAATTATAATTCACAATCGCTGATGATTCGAAAAGTTGAGAGGAACGTAGTTCGTCAAATATACTCCGCATTTTTAATTTCAAAGATTATTTTTTGCATCATAAATTGAGTTACAATTTCACCCCTTTTTAGCAAACATAGTTCTTCGGTAAACGCTGATATACTTAGAGTAGAGTGTTTGAAAGAGCAAAAATGAGCTATTTAAGCTGAAAATATGTAAAAATAGCCAAACATCCCTCTAATGGGCTACTTTGGCTGATTCCTGTTATCAACCGTGAAAGTAGCTCCATAGTTACTTTTTGAGAGGTTAAAAGATAACTATAACCAACACCTTTCCTTCTTAATCATAGAAGTCGAGAAATGGTCCTAAGTAGGACCAAAATTTTACTTATGTACGCGTATAGGACTTCCTACTTTTTAAAACCTAAATAAGACTAATTTTTTTTGTTAATCCCACTTTTGCCCTTGATATAATTGCAACAGACTAGCAGCACTCTTCTTCGTCGGATCTGGAGTGCACTCTTATATGACGAGAATCTCTAGCTATCTCTCCTCCACAACCTCCGCCTCATACGCTCTCTCTTCTTCTTCCATAGCAAAGGAGGGGAGCTTCAAGACAGAGAAGACACGGCAACACTCCAACGGTGATGTGATGGCACAACAGCTTTAGCGAGAGGGCGGGCTCGACGTAGAAGATGCGGCGGCACAACAGCTTCGGCGAGAGGGCGGGCTCAACGGAGAAGATGCGGCGGCACAACAGCTGCTGCGAGAGGCTCTATGTGTTCTATCCTCTTCTTCCCTTCTTCTTCTTCCTCCTCTTTTTCTTCTTCTCTTGGGTAGATATGGCAATCTCCTCCTTTTCTTCTCTTGGGTAGATCTGGAATGAACGGTGCCTTCTAAAACTGGAAATCGTGGGCTGCCTTCTAAATTTTTATTTTCCTTTACAGGAGGTGGCGTAGTGGCATGTATATGCCTCTTCAAATTCTTGGTTTCAACTTCTAACTTTTTTACACATATTTGTTTTGTTTATTTTTTATTAATATGTTTTGAATAAAATTTGATTCAAATGTCATTGTTATAGTAACACTTTGATGTTATTATCATATATTTTTATAATGATATCAACATTGTGAAATTTACAATGTGATAAATGATTTTAGTATTGTGACATCTTCTAATGTTGACATTGTTTTCATAATTGTTTGATTTCAATGTCATGGTCATTATTATTGTATTTCATTGGTGGTTTGTCACAATGTCATAAAATTGACATTGTCATACCATATATATTGTTACAATATCATTTTACAATGTCATTTTTATATTATTGAAATTGATATTGTGACATTTTTTATTTTGATATTGTTGACAATATTTGACATTGTTTGTTTTGGAAATATCTATGATGACTACATTTTAAATTGAGAAATATTTCTGACAATGTCATTACATTGCTATTGACATCAAAATTAACATTGTCATCACATTGCTATTGACATTGTCATGATTTCAATGTCATTTTTCATAGCATTAAGATTGACATTGTCATCGCATTGACATCAAGATTGGCATTGTCATCGCATTTCTATTGACATTGTCGTGATTTCAATGTCATTGTTACTACATTGTCATTGACATTGTAATAGTGATAATGCCATTTTTATAGCATTGATGAATATTGTATTAATATTTACATTGCCAATATCATTGCATTAACATTGTAATAGTCTGGTGAATGTTGAAGCTTGGCTCTTCAAGTTCTGGTGATTAAGGTTGCCGGAGTACTGCCAAAAGAGGTTGCGGAGAACCAGCGGCGGAGGTCGTCGGAGGACTGGCGTAGAGGACTGGTACGGAGGCGGTCGGCGGAGGTCCGACAGAGTTCTTGCGGAGTTTCAGCGGCAGTCGGCGAGATCCGACAGTCGACAGCGGCGGTCGGAGGTGTGCGGCAGTAAGTAACGGATAGTAACAATCACTGGAGTCTGGATAAGTCTCTCAAATCATTAAAGTGTGAAGTGAGGCATTTTTGTCCCTTCACATTAAAGTAGTCTTATTTTTTAGGAGTAAAAAAGTGTTGAGTGGTATTTAGGTTCCGTGGTATTGTTTTAAACTTATTCCCCAGTGGGAATGGAGGAAGTGTTGTTCAAAGAAACAGATACCTGCCTGCCACTTTGAGAATTTAATGGCCTCATTCATTTCTGCAAGGCAGTGGCAGTCATAGAAATGAATCCGAGAGAAATGATGAGTTCAGGCGTCTTGTCAAAGTGGCGCTGTAGAGCAGAAGCACCTCATAATATATCTTCACCCGCCGCATAGAAAAAGTCACAAACTCTGCACACATTATACATATCATATTTGCGAGACTTTTTTTTTTTCTATGAACCCGCTTCACTGATAATATTTTCTATGTCCAAAACGTTGTCTGTGAATCGATGTTCACGGACAAAAAAAAACTTTTACAAACATAGGTGTATACAAAAGTGTGTATAAGAGTGTGTACAAACATTATTCTTTAAAAAATCAATTCGCAGGCTTTTGTCTCCATCTTCCCCTCTTGCGGGTCCCACACCTCATCAATGTCATCATCCATACCCGTACTCTTCTTTTCTCAGATTTTTGTATCCAAAAATGTTCATTTGGTAACTTATAGCCCCTCTCATAACTCATTTTGAGGTTATGAGGCTCAGTAGCTATTGGTCTAATTTAGCAAATGACATCAATTGTTTTTTGAATTCTTTGACCATTAATATTTTTGAACTTGTAAAGAGCCAAAACAATTACTCTCTGTTTCTCATTTTTTTTTTCTCAATTTAAGTTGGATGGGAACTTAAGAAAATGAGAACAAAATTGAATGTATGATTGTGGTTGAATACGAAAAAGGTAAAAGAATGTTAGTCACTTTAAAATTTTTAAAAAGGAAAATAGAAATAATTTTTGTATATTATTTATGACAATATTGTTCATGATGTGTATATTATTTGCAACAAATTTTAGTTTAAAATTCAATCGACAAAGTCAGTTAAATAAATTATTGAAATACACTGCACCAAACTATATATAAAAAACACAGTGTTTTTCCATAATTTATTTAATTGATTTCCCGATTGACATTTAAGCTGAAATATGATGAATATAATCTACACTTCATGAAATACATGTTCACAAAATTTCATCACGTGAGAAGTTTGTCTTGGGCTGAGAACTGCGAAGTTTAACTAATAGATACAATAAGGTAATTTATATAACAGAAATCATAACTTATAAATCCAACAACTCTAAATCAAAAGTATAATCTTATAGTGATAAATTGAGGAAGTATGAGATTACAATGAAAAACACTAGTAGTAGTTGAAAAATATTTACAAAAAAATATTTATCAAAAATATATTTATTTATTTACCAAGACATATATGTCCTAATAAACTATTAATATGTTAAATGTAAATTCTAAAGCCAAATGTTTAACATTTACAACTTTTTAAATTACTTCGCAGTTTTCAGCCTATAAACACTTCTCACCTGATCCGCTCTAACTTCGCAGTTCTCACTATTAATACGTTATATATATATATATATATATATATATATATATATATATATATATATATATAGGTTATTTACCCTCTAATGACACTAGACTTTGTAAATTACCAAAAGTTTGTATGACTTAAAACAAGACTCTAGACAATGGTATTGTAAATTGCCAAGATATATATGTCCTAATAAACTATTAATACGTTAAATGTAACTTATAAAGTTAAATGTTCAACTTAAATGTAAAAAAAGGAAATGGATTGAGATGCATTCATAATTAGGGATAGATGCATGGGATGTGAAGCTGGGAAGGAGTATTTGGTGCCTTGGTGGGATGCATGAACCATGAATGAATGATGGGTTGGGCTGACTTGGGCATTCATGTCATGATGCAAAACATAATATAAAACATTCATTTATATATAATTGGATTCATGATGTATCTCATGGTGATTACTAGACCCGACATTGTCTATGTTGTTAGTTGTTTGAGTAGGTATATGTCTAACCCCGATTTACCCCATTGGAATGCTCTTAAGTGGTTGCTTTGGTATTTGAAATCTAATGTTAATCATGAGTTGGTTTTCACTAGATGTTCTGAGTGTGTTAAGTTGAGTGGGTATGTGGATTCGAATTTTGCTAACGATAGAGACAATAGGAAATCCACTACTTCTTATGTGTTTACTCTTTGTGGGTCGTGCATTAGTTGGAAGTCTCAACTTCAACCCATAGTTGCCCTTTCCACTACTGAGTCTGAGTATGTGGCTGCTATCGAATTGTTTAAGGAATCCATTTAGCTTAAGCATCTCCTAACGAAGATTGGTAGGCTTAAACAGGACATATGTGTGTTTTCTAATAGTCAATCTGGTATTCAACTGTGCAAAACCCCTGTTTTTCATGATAGAACTAAGCATATTGATGTTAGATTTCATTTTATACGAGATATTGTTAGTGCAGGTCATATCAAGTTGATTAAAATTCCATCTGAGTTTAATCCTGCAAACATGGGGACTAAATGTCTCTCTGTCGAAAAACTGGTGTCGTGCAAACGCACGTTAAACATTGATTGCGGATA